TATACCAGTTGCCCAGGACTTTCCCAGTTTCAGCACTGCAAGTTCCATGTCCTGAGAAATCCTTCAGTCCCAGGCACACCCAGATGGTTGGTCTCCCTGTGTCAGATGAAACCCAAGCCTCATTCTACCTCCAGACTTGTTTCCCACAACTACCAGCCGCACACTGATGCTCCACAAACTCCAGGGTCCCCCTCCCACATCCTGCTCCCCCATACAGTGACTCCTACTCGTCCTTGAAGACTGCACTCTGGTGTTGCCTCCTCCAGAAAGTTCGCAAGGTTTCCACCGAACCCTGGGCCTACAGTGATCCTAGTGCTTGTCACCCTGTACAGTCACTGGCTCTATGGTGGTCTCTTTTTCCCTCCGGTTATAAGCTGTTCCCTATCCCAAACCCAAGATGTTTACTATCAGAGCCAAATGGAGATCATCACCGGCACTGGGGTGGGTACTAGCTGTTTATGGCACCCTTATCCAAGTCACTTTAGGATCTTCTAAGCCCCACACCAGTAAGCAAATCACCAGGTTACTCAGGCAGGCTGTAATATGGATTAAGCTGATCTGCCTGAACCAGGGCAGGCAGCTCAGGTTTCCAAAAAGCACCCAATGACCATGCAACCTAAACAATGTACCTGGGCAGTTCCCAGGATACTTCAGAGGAACCTGAGAACCTTTACCGTTCCCTGGCTGGCGGGAGAGTGAAGATGACCCACTGGCAGTGAGACCCAACCAAGCTGAAAGACTTTCCAACCTGACTTATTAGGAAGTTTTATTCAAAAAGACAGTGTCATGAGTACAAGCACTAAAGTCAAACCCTGGCTTTGACACTTTTCAGCTGTTGTTATCTTGGGCAAGTGACTTAACCTCTTTGAGCCTTAGTTTCCATTTCTATAAAATGGACTAAAGGAAATAACACACAGGAAGGCCTTAGCAAGTACCTGACACAGAAAACGCATTTAATAAATATTACAGCAATTTAGAAGGCCTAGAGTCAGGCTGTTAGGTGACAGCCTGCAGGTAACTGGGTGCTGGCAGGAGGCCCAACTCTGCCCTTCTCAGCCACATCCACCCACTCTCTACATTCCTAAAATCCTTGAGCCTCTCCCTTTCCCTGTAGCTGCCCTCCCACTTGAGATTCCTGCTTTCCTACCCCTCTTCTTGTCCGGGGCCTCTCTCCCCCCCATGTTTTCTCTTACCACCATTCCTCACCACATAGTGAGCCCTCATGCTCCCCCCCACCCCCCAGACCCACAAACATTTATTAAATGCATGCTCCATGCTAGAAAGGACACAGCTGAGGATCACTGCACCCTAACCCTGGCCAAATGAGAAGCCCCCATCTAATGTCCCTCCCCACCAATCCTTTCCATGGACCTGTCTTCTTCCTACTGTTTCCCCCTCCTCCCTCCATCCTTCTTCCTTCCCATCAGTAATCTTGGGAGGTTCCTCTGTAAACCAGCCTACGTCTTTCCACCAAAGTTTGCCTTCTCCAACTCCCTCCCCCCAATATTTTCCTCCCTAAAGTTATTCCCTCCACAAAGGTCTCTATTTTCCATTATCACCCTCCCCCCACCACTCCCCCCAAAAAATCCTAGACTCTTGTCTGCATGCTCTGCACCTCTCCCCAGTTCATCCTTTTTTTTTCCCCCATTCATTAAGCATCCACTGAGCTCCTACTGTGTGTCAGGCACAGCACTAGATTCTGGGATATAATTGTGAGCAAAACAAGCAGTCTCCGTCCACCTAGAAGTGCCAGTTTCGTAACAGACAAAAAGGTAGTAAAAACAAGCAGGATAACTGCAGCTAGTGGAGATGCATTGAATGAAATCAAGATAAAGATGGACAGGAATTGGGGTGGGGGAAGCCCTTGAGGTAGTGTGGTCTGGGAAGGCCTGGCCTGGCTAATAAACACAGCTACCACTGCTGGCCACCTACTGTGTGACACACACTGGATCAGTCTCTTTCCATGCATGACATTACTAAATCCTTGCACAGTGTTCACAATACTCATTCGCAGATGCGGAACCAGAGGCTCAAAGAGGTGAAGTAATTTGTCCAAGGTCACACTGCCATTAAGTGGTGAAATCAGGATTTGAAAGCAGGTCTGTCTGCTGCACTGCTGCTTCCCAGGATCCCGTTTGCAACTTGTCCACCCCCAGAGCTCTACGTCTGATAGTCCCTCTTTAGACTCCCCCTAGAAAATAGTCTGCTTTTAATTACCGCCCTTGAATGAGCACCTGTATGTGCTCCCAGCTTTAAGTGCATTCTCTTACCCAATCCTCAAGACAATCTTGGGAAGCAGGTGCTGTCACAATATCCGTTTTTACAACTAAGGAAACGAAGGCCTAACTCCACATACTTAGACTGCAACCCAGATCTGTCCGACTCCGGGATCCAGACCTCTGACCTCTGTCCAGCCTAAGAAGTACCACCCGGGGAAGCTGGATGCGCAAGATCTGCTCCGGCAAGAACGACGTCGGTGTCCGAACACGGAAATCTCATCCCCTTACTTTAAAAAGACGGGGACACTGAGGCTCTGAGAAGCGAAGCGACTTGCCCAAGGTCACACAGCAAGGAGAGACGGGGTCAGGGTTCGAACCAAGGCGCCCCGACTCCAGAGCTCTCGCTCTTAACCACCATACAGCCTTTCCTGAGCACCTCTCTCCACCCTCCACTCAGCTCTGACACCTCCCAGCGACCCGTGCCCGGGGCTATGCGCTCCCACCCCAGTTTCCAGCCCCCGGGCCTCCCCCTTCCGCCCCCAATATACTCACTTGAGGTGGTCCAAGGAGTGGATGTTGCGGGAAGACTTGCCATGGCCCCCGCCCACCCAGCTCCGCGAGCGGCCAAACATGTCGGCTGCCCCGGCCCGTCCCTCGCCTCACGGTCTCATGACCCAGCGGCCCAGCGGCCCAGCGGCTGGGAGCCCGCGGCGGCAGCACAAACCGCGGAGGTGGTGAAGAGACCGCCAACCACCTTCCTCCCCGGCCCACAACCCGGCACTGACATTCAGCCGGAACCGGCCGTTCGACCGTCGCGCTTTACGGCCGCCATCACGAAGAATGCTGGGAAATGCAGTTCACCCGCGAGGCCCCAACAGACAGGACTCTATGAACCAACTACAAGGCCCGGCATGCACCACGCAACTGCGGGCCTGCGGCCTGCGAGAAGAGGTGGAGCGAGAGGAGGAGCATGCGCCGTCCCGTCCCAGTGGGCGGGAATGGGAAACCTGTGCACAGAACCATAGAAGGAAGTTGGGGAAGTAGGGTAATTGTAAATAATGGCAGTATTAACAATTACTAGCTTTATGATAAAAAAAGAGTAGCTATTGCATATACCATGTGCCTAAGCGCTTACATATAATTATTCTAACAACCCCATGAGGTGGGTTCTATTATTTTTCCCATTTACTGTCAAGGAAATTGAATCACAGTGAGGTTGACTTGCCCAAGGACATGCAGCTAGTTAAGTGACAGAATTAGGATTCAAACCAGGTACCCTTATTTTTATCCCCCAGTAAAAAACAAACAAAACTAAAGTGCATCAGATCAATAATGGCCTTGTTTGTCCTCACAGCCTTTTTTCTTTTTCTACTTCAATTTACATTTAGAAAGACAAGCAACAATGTACCAAAACTGAACATCCTGTACTTTGAGAGGATTTCTCTGGTCTTCACCCAAAACCCATGCCATTTCCCAAACTAACATTTTTTTAAATGGAAACAACTTCCTATATGAGCCAAGATGTCTCTATAAAAAGTGAGAAGCTCCAAGGAGGTAAAATGACCCTGTTCACCATTCATTCACTTATTTCTATACCTCATACTTATCCAACGCCTATTGTGTACAATCTACTTTGCTCAGGACAGAATTGGACCAGGAGCTAATGTTCTCCCCAATGCTCAGCACAAAGCTTGGTGCTAATTGGTGTTCAGCAAATATTGACACAGTGAATGAATACATGAAAGTTTGTTTCACCTTCTGCAGTTGGAGAAATGGAGACCAGTGGAGGATTAATGGTTTTGCTGTGTAATTCATCTAAAGGAGAATTACATCTAAAGAAACAGTCATGGAAAAAAGGGGGAAAAAAAGGGCAGGTTCTGGCCTCTAGACACAGGCAGGCAGGCCGATCAGCTTCCGAGGCCACACCATTTCTCTGGGTCTTGGTTTCCTCATCTGTAAAAAAGTGTAACTTACTACACTACCCTGTCTGGCTCCACCTAAGCAATGCATGTAAAGCACCCAGCTCAGTGGCCTGAGTTTTAGTAGTTTATGGAACTGCTTTGGAAGGCCCTGTGGCAAGATCAGCCTCCTGAAGGATGTGCAAGGGTTCCCCATGAGAAAGGGATTCGCTTTTCTGTGTACTTCTTGGGTTGCTTCTTATTTCTTTGTTGCTTGTAGGGTTGCTTCTTATTTCTTTATAAGCCATGTTTAAAAACAATAATGCAACCCTACTGGCTAAAGGTCCGACCTGCCTGGGGATCTCTTTACTCAGGTGTCCCTGAACACTACAATGCAGAACTCTCCGCAGTAGGCAGACCTTCCTGCAGCCAGAATTTGGAAACCTAGGGGACATTGGTTGATTATCCCCACCATAAAAATAAAAAAAATAAAAAACTGGCCCTTTGAGAAAGTCCAAGATGTTCACTATTAAAGTCCACCTCCCCTCCCCTACCCGCCTCCTTTTTCATCTGGTAAACTGAGTCCCAACAAAGCGTGGCGCCATATTCAAGTCCAGCAGGGTGCAGAGAGAGCTCGCGGTTTCCTTCAGCTTTTGTCGCCTCTAAGTTTGAATTTTGTCGGACTTCTTTCCAGTCCCCCTACTCCGAGAGGGACTCAAAGAAGCGAATTGGATTTGGGATCAGGGCGGAGTCCAGAACCAGGAAAGCAACTCAGAGGCCAGCGCCCCCAGCCACAGGGCTGAGAAGTACCCGCCCCCAGGCAGCTCGGGCCAATGAGCGCGGACAGGGGGCGGCCGGCCAATGAGCGCGGGGCCTCTCTGGAGGCGGAGCTCGGAACGCGACCTGCAGGGCGACGCGGCGGCTGCAGCCATGGGCGCTGAGCCGGAGGAGGCACAAATGGGGCTCGAGGAACTGCCGGGCCGACCTGGAGAGACTGCCTCCGGGACTGGCCCTCGACGCTGAGCCGCGGTGGGCTCCCCGCCAGTCCTGCGAGGGTCCGTGATTGCGAGCGGGGCGCATCGGAGCAGCCGGATAGCCGCCGGGCACTTCGGGGGGGGCCCGCCTGGCCGCCGAGCGGATCGAGAGGGCTGTGTGGGCACATCTGGGGGTACGGGGACCCCTCCACGCACGTTTCGGAGGCCGGGCGCATCCCCAGGTTTCGCCGCCGGAAACCAGCGCCGCCTCGGTCGAGCCGCAGGGCGTCCCTGGATGGCTGAGCTGCCCCCTCGCCGGCCGCCCGGGCGCCACAGCGGCTGAGCTCGCTGGGACCTCCGGGCCGCCGCCGCCCTCGTCGTCCCCTGCATGCCCAGTGCCCGGGTCGCGGCCCACCTGGACGTGCTGGGCCCCCTGGGCCCCTACGTGCCCCCGCCGCTGCTGCCCTCTATGTTCTACGTGGGCCTCTTCTTCGTCAATGTGCTGATCCTATACTACGCCTTCCTCATGGAGTACATCGTCCTCAACGTGGGCCTCGTCTTCCTGCCCGAGGACATGGACCAGGCGCTCGTGGACCTCGGCGTGCTCTCCGACCCGGGCTTGGGCCTCTACGATGCCGACTCGGAGCTCGACGTGTTCGATGGTTACTTGGAGTAGGCCTCGCTACCCCGCAGCTCCCCCCCACAACCCGCCACCTTCCACCCGGACCAGCCGCCCAGAACATGCCGCCGCTGCTGGTTGAGGGCACCGTTTGGCCGGGGATGGGACCTCCAGGACCAGGTCCTCTCCGGCCCCCGAGGCCTGTAAGTGCCCTCTGTGCGGGATGAGGACGGATTGGGGCACCGGGGAGGAAGAGGGAGGCCTCCCCAAGCCGGACACACACCCCTCCCCCAGGCTCCCGATTCATTCCCCCATCCACCTCCTCCAGGTCTGTTTGGGTGTCAGGAATGGCTGGACTGCTTAGGCCCTTAGTTGGGGGTTGGAAGGCTTCCCCTAAGGAAGGTGACAGTGTTGAAGAGGGGAAGGGAGGCAGGGCCTATGTAGTGTTTGGGTGAGCCATGCTGCCAACTGCCACAGCTTGTGGGAAAAACCTTTGCACCCGAATCCATGGGAGGCAGAACTGTCAGCTCCTCCCCCAATCCTCAGTCTAGCTTGAAGATGACCTTGGTGGGGGGGGGGGGGGGGTTCCTCACTAGTCCTGGAAGGATAAAGACTTGGAGTGTCACAAAAGGTAGGAAGCCAGGCACAGGTCACCTTTGTCTTGTGGCCTCTTGGAGACTGAGAGCAAGGGCTTCTGGCTGGGGTTTTAAGAGGAGAAACCTCCTTTAGCAAAGAACCTTGTACTTTTGGCCTTGGGTTTGCTGCTGACTTGGAGTCAGGTTTCAGGGTGAAACTGCAAGGGCTGCCAGTTTCACAGGCTGCCTTCATGGAGGGGGTTGGGGGAGGAGCGGGGACTCTGCCTGTGTGCCTGCAAGGCCTCAAGGGGCTCGTGGGCATGCAGAAGAAACTACAGGATCATTGCACTAAGGTGTTCAAGTCCTGCCTCTGGGCTGCAAAAAGGGAGCTGTGTCCAGCCCCACATGTTTGCTGGTGGGAGAGAAATGAAAATCCAGAAAGTCTTGACCAAAGTAACACATCAAGGAAGAGAGGTAGATAAATAAAAAGAAACAAACAAAACGACACACACAAAAAGAAGATGGGCAGCTGGACTAGATGCGAGAGACAGGCAGACTGTTGGGTCGGTGAGGGTTCACAGGGCATGTAGGGACTCCTTGGCTGGAACCCCTGAGCTGGCCAATGCTGGAAGATCACTAGGTACAGAGTCTGACTTGCAAAAGAAAGGGGATACTGAGGCATTGGGCAAGGGCTTCTTTGGGGAAACAGACACTAATGCCACTCACCCCAAGCAGGCCGAATCAACACCTGTCCTCTGTGGCCTTCCTAAGCCAAGATGACCATAGTCAGGTGATTTAGGGTGGGGCAGAATCCACTGCCGGGAATGGTGGGGGCAGGAGCTCCCTGAGGGGTTAACAGTGAGATTTTTTTGAAGAAAGCTTTGAGCTACTCTCTATAACTACCCAGTCTGCCTGCCTTCCATCCATCTATCCATCAGTTCTTTTATTGAACAAATGCGTACTGAGTATCTATCTACTGTGCCTGGTGGATGAACACGGTAAATAAGACAGACTTAGCCCCAGCCCTCTTGGCACTTGGTGAGAAGGACAAGCAGGTTCCCAAACAAGATAATCAGATTTTTTTGAGAGCTGTGAAGGCAGGTAAGGACATGGGCAGCCATATTGTGTTCACTGCTGTTTCCTCAGTACTTAGAATAGCACCTAGCATCTAGTAGGTGCTCAATAAATGTCTGTCGAGTAAGTGACACAGAATAGAGATGGGCTGCTTCAGAGGGAGGTGTCATAGGAGGCCCTTCTGAGGAGATGACACATTTGAGCTGAGCTCTAAATTGACAGGAGCCAGACATGAAGACCTGGAGAAGAGCCATCCGGGCAGAGGGCACTGCCATTGCCAAGGCTGTCGGGTGGAGAGACTTGGTTCTTCCAACAACTAAAAGGAGGCTGTTGTGGCAGGAGAGCAGCCCCAGGAGAGGTCAGTGGGGTGGGCGGTAGCCAGACTGTGTGGGACTTGGAGGCCACAGCCATGAGCAGTGGGAAGCCACCAGCAGGGATGACACAATTCCACCTCACATTCTGCAAAGATGGCTTAGGCCAGTGGTCAGCAAACTCATTAGTCAACAGAGCCAAATATCAACAGTACAATGATTGAGATTTCTTTTGAGAGCCAAATTTTTTAAACTTAAACTATATAGGTAGGTACATTGTTATTAACTTAATTAGGGTACTCCTAAGGCTTAGGAAGAGCCACACTCAAGGGGCCAAAGAGCCGCAGTTTGCCGACCACGGGCTTAGGCTCTTGTGGGCAAAATGGGTTATAGGGGCAAGTGTGGAAACAGGATAGCCAGTTAGGAGCTGTTCAGTTGCTTGGGTCAAGGTGACCGAGGCTAGGATGAGGCAAGGTTAGTAAAGATGCAGAAACACAAGTAGACCAAGAACACCTTTTGAAGGTAGAACTATGGAATCCATTCAAAACCTGTACTGAGTATTGATCATCTATACTGGTTCCACGCCCTTTGTGTGTTCACTGACTCAGTCATTCAGCAAGTGTTAACCCTGCCTCCTCTTCTGCGAGGCTCCAGGATCCCAAGATGAATCCCTGCCTCCAAGCCAAGTGCTTGACTCTCAGACAGTGTAATTTGGAGGAGACTGTCTTATTTTATCTCCTCAGCACATCAACAGAAACACTTCCCCTTGCAAATGAAAACATTGGCATACTCTGAACCAAAAACCGAAGCCCAAATGCTTTGACATACTTTTTAGCAAACACTGTTTGAGGAGAAACACAGGAAGTGTGTCTCGGGGACACCCTTGCAAAGCTTTCAAAGTGACAGAGCTGGACCCTGGGAAATAGGGAGGTCAGGGGCGGTGGGATATACTCATGCCTGGAGAAATGGTGGAAGTCACGCACATTATTCCTTCTTCTCCACTCCCAAACCAAGGTAGTCTTGGCCCCAAGGACTGGAGAAGCCCAGACTTGGGTGGGTGAGGGGTGGCTAGAAGCAGGAGAAGCCTTGGGGAAGATTAAAGATGATCTGATGGCACCCCATCTCTAGGCTCCTTTCCATAAGCAGAGGCACAGCAGTGGTCAAATCTTACTCTTCTCACTCATTCTCACGTGGACACAGGCTCAGGAAACACTGACTAAGGGCGAGGGGCATGCCAAGCAGTGGGGGAGAGGGTGGATCTCCAGATGAAAAGATTCACTCACTTTTGCTCCCTCTTTTTCTTTTTTCTCTTTATGTGTGTACCTGCATAATTCAGGTCATCAAACATTTGTGGAGAACTTATTAAGGAGGCTGTATTAGGGTTAAACACCCCAGATTCAGATGCCCTGGGTTCAAATCCCAACCCTAATTGTGACTTTGGGCATGCTACATACCTCCCTGTATGTCAGATTCCTCTTCTCTGAAGCAGAGATAATGAAAATTGACTTCCTTGTGAAGATTAAATGAGATCTATGTAAAGCTCTTCAACCTTCCTGTGCTATATTAAAATTAAACACTATTATCATTAACAGATATAATGGAAAGTGTGTATACTCAGGCCCTTGAATATATAAACCTGCACATATACCCACTGGTAGTTTAGATTCCCTGATGAGCTACGGAGGACTGGCTGGCTGAGCGATGGGAGGTCCAGGCCTAGACTACTAGGATAGACTTCTTACTCTGCCTTCTAGGTCTGGGACCCTCAGGAGTCCTTGCTCATTGTGCTGTGCCCTCCAAAGGCCACCAGATCTGGAGCCCCGGAGCGCCACAGCTCTGTGGTTTTCCTGGAGTGTTAATCATTGCCCAGGAGCAGGGGGAGTAGGGAGTCAGGAGCTCTCCCTTCCCAGGAGAAAGGGCCACTGGCCTGGGAGCTGAGGAGAGTCCTAGTGTCCTAGCAGTGCTGGTGTTAAAAAGAACGTTTATATCACTGAAAAGAGAAAACCAGCATCAGTTCTGGTGTGGAGGCAGCTCAGCTGGATTGATTTCTCCTGATTCTTGATGAAAGCCCACAGTGCTGCCAGCCCTCTCTTGGCACACAGGAAGGGCTGAGGGAGAGGAGCCTCACTGCGCTGGGAATGGAGAGACTAGAGAATGCAGCTGCCAGTCACGTGCCTGGCGGAACTCAGATTTGGAGCTAAGGGTAACCAGACCCAGTGGTCAACTTATTACAGGCTTTCTCAGGCTCCAGTGTCCCGACTGGGTGCTGCAACTACTTTTTCCTGATCTACCTGCCCTGCTCCCTCATGCCAATCTGTGGCCTGTGCTATCAGCAGAAGACACAGGAAGCTGGCATACCACTGCTCTGCTCAGAAACCCAAACCTTTTTGGGGGCATGGGCACGATAGAGTCAGGTCCCGGGAGATCCCCCAGCTAGGGGTCTGGTCTGACAGGAAACCAGGTGGGAAGTTATGATTGTTACCCAGACAAGAGACAGGTGATGATGATGAGGGGAGGCACATGCTGGTGATGTGAACCTTGATCACTTGGCTAAGGTGGTGTCTGCCAGTTCTTTACACCGTAAAGTTACTATTTCTCCCTCTATAATTTATAGTTTGTGATTAAGTCTACTAGTTTTAGTGCTTCGTTTAAAAAAATATATTTTCATGTGAATTTTTTAAAAAGAACATTTATATCACTGAAAAGAGAAAACCAGCATCAGTTGGCTTGGATAAAAAACAGGAAGTGCCAAAGTCATTAAATTCTGGCCAAATACGAAGGCCAGCTAAAGGTGCAGGGCCTCTGGCCTGCTCTTTGTTAAAAAGGCAGATTAGCAACAGTCAGGTGATAAGATACTCCAGCTCCAGAGTGGAAGTTTCTCCTCAAAGTAATCAAGGGTCGATCTAGAACCAAAAAGAATCGCTTGCTCACCTCATGTGACTCGGTGTTACTTAAGGCCATCTCCATGTGCCCCCTAAAATTGTAGAGACTTTGCAGTCAGATTGGGGTTTAAATCCCAGCTCCACCAACACCTTGGACAAGTGACTTCACCTCCTCAGGCCTCAGTTTCCTTTCTGAACTGGGGATGATAGCATCTGCTGCAGGGCTTTGCACAGATGAGATGGGGAAGGAAGGACTCATAGTCGGTTCTTAATAAATGATGCTGTCAGTGTTGATGGTGTGGCACACCCAGGGGGGGGCTTGGCCCGGGAACCCTTCCCCTTTCCTTGGCTCTCTTACTCT